TACCAAACACCAAAATACCAACTACCAACTACCAGATAGCAAATACCAAACACCAAATCACCAAAATACCAACTACCAACTACTAGATAGCAAATACCAAACACCAAATCACCAAACACCAAATCACCAAATACCAAACACCAAATCACTAGTTACCAAATCACCAAGACTAAATCACCAAAATACCAAACACCAAATCACTAATTACCAAATCACTAGACACCAAAATACCAAACACCAAAATACCAACTACCAACTACCAGATAGCAAATACCAAACACCAAATCACCAAAATACCAACTACCAACTACTAGATAGCAAATACCAAATCACTAATTACCAAATCACCAAACACCAAATCACCAAATACCAAACACCAAATACCAAACACCAAATCACCAAACACCAAATCACTAGTTACCAAATCACCAAGACTAAATCACCAAGCACCAAGCACCCAAGAGCCCGCGGGCCGCGCGCGCCGGTCACGTGACAGGGACATTGGCCGGGTGCGCCAACCGGCCCCCAACCCCCAAAAACAACCCCGTCTTCTCTGCCGCCATGCCGCTCTCCATCGTCGTCCCGGAAAACGCCCGCTTTTTTGACGACCACGCCGTGCAGGAGGCCGGCCAGGGCGGCGCCGCGCCACGTGACCGGCGCGCGGACGCCTTGTGCTGGAGCATTTCCAAATGTCCACGGCGGTCGCTCCTCTTCTACGAGGAAACCTTCACCGGCTTTGTGGTGCACACGGCCCCCTTGGGAAGCGCGGTGCCGGATTCCGTGTTTGTGACCCTGGCTGCCACATACGACGTGTACATAGATGGCGCCCCGCCGCGCGGGCTGGCGCCGCCGCTGATCACCATCCAGCCGAGCGCCAGTGCTGCTGGAGTCGACGGCACCGCCACAAAAAGCAACCGCACGGAGGCCGCGGCGGACCTCGTGTGGCGGGGCGCATCCAGCGCCATGCACGGCGCGCGCGCCCTCGTGTCCATCTGGAAATTCTCCGCGTCCGCCGGGTGTCCGCGGCGGGAAACAAACGGGCGCTCGGGCGGCGGCCCGGGCCGGGTTTCGCGGCCGCCCGGGGCTCCGGAAGTCCCCGGGGTGGGCCTGGAAAACCTCCTAGCAGAGCTCAACCACGGCGTGCTTGGCGATAACGCCTGTCCATACGCGCTCTACTACAAGCGCGGCGGGCGGCCGGGCGGCGCGGCTGCTGAAACACCGAAACCCCGGGGCCCGGGGCCCGTCGATGGACCGGTCGATGGGCCGCTGGAGGGTCCTTGCTTGGAGGACGAAAGCGCCTCGCTTGTGGTGGCCACTTCGGCGCCGCTCCAGTTGAAGCTCCGCACCACCAAGCCCGGCAGCCGCAGCGACCTTCTCCTCACCACGTTGCGCGTGGAGGCCGCGGCCCTGTTGGTCCATAGTGCCCCGGCCCGGCCCGAAGAGAGATACGCCCTCCGGATCTTGGGGCTCCAGGCCGGCTTCAAGGGCGGCCAGCTCACTCAGCTAGGCGACGTGCCGCTCCCGCACCGGTGCGCCCTCCTGGACGTGCTCAGCGTGACATACAGGCTAGTGAACAGCGACATCTGCCCGGGCCCCGCCGCCGCCAGGCTCATCGACATCCGGGTCCGTGCGTGTGTCGACAAGCACAGCGTGCTCCCCGGAGGCGCCGCGCAGGACGGCTGGGTGCAAGTCACGCGCGAGATCCTGACCACGTGGACGCCGATCCTCGACTTCGACCGCGGGCCGCAGAGCCCGGCGGCGCTTGCAAAGACACACGCGCCGCAGGGCCGCGGCCAGCTGCAGTTCCGCTCCAAAAGCACGCACTTGAAGCCCCTGCCCCCGCCCGGCACCTTCCCCCAGAGACCCGCTGCCTTCGGCCGGAATGCAGGCGCCATGGCGTCGCCCATCGCATCGCCAGGCGCCGCCTCCATGTACTCGTTGTACTCGCCGAGGCCGGGCTGGCCCGACAGCATGCCGCCCGAGCCGCTGCGCCCCGCGACGCCCAGCCTTTCGTCGCCCTTGTTGCCCATGCCACGTGGGGCGGCCTCGCGCATGAAAACCTCAAGGAGCGCCTTCGCGGCGGCAGGCGGCAGGCCGGGCTTCACGCTCAACTTAGGCCCCGAGGCCCCACCTGCGTTGGCCGGGCTTAGGTTGTCTTTCTCCGGCAGCCCCAGAATCGACTTGGGCCACACCGTCACGTGGAAAGCCCAGGCCGTAAACCAGACCAGCCACGTGTTGAAGTTGGCGCTCGTGACGTCCCCGGCGAGACGGAAGGCCCCTCTGGGCCTGGCTGTGGGTTTCTACAGTAGCGCCACACGGAGCTCCTCGCATCATTCGCTTCTGGGGCCCGACGACAGGAGACCGGCCAACGGCCTGGCCATACACAGCAGGCTGTTGTTGTATGAGCAGTACGTCCTGGGCAAACCCGGCAAGGCTGGCGTAGTGCTTCTATCGAACGACGTTGCGCTTGGGGTTCTCGAACCCAACCAGGTCTTCGAGTCGGAATTCCTGTTTGTGAGTTTTACCAAGGGCGTTCACAACCTCTCTGGTCTACTAGTAGCGGAGTCCACCACGGGCGAGGCCATCGATATCGGTAGGTTCTTGGAGGTATACGTTGTTTAGTGACAGAAAGTACGGAGTCCACCACGGGCGAGACCATCGATCTCGGTGGGTTCTTGGAGGTAACGTTATTTAGTAAATCAAAATTACGGCGTCCACTACTAGCGAGGCCATCGATCTCGGTAGACTCTCGGAGTTTTACGTTATTTAGTGAACCAAAAGTATAGTCAACATGTTTTTCTTTGTAGACAACAAAAGCAAATACAAAAATTCTAAAAAAGATCGGGGCATACTGGGAATTGAACCCAGGGCCTCTCGCATATTTGTGTGAACGATGGCTCGTCCTCACCCAAAGCGAGAATCATACCACTAGACCACACGCCCGTATCTGATTGTAAAAAAATAGCGGCTTAATATATAATAGCATAAGCTAGGAAATTTATTCTTAAAGTTATTTTCTCTACCTTATGCTCAACTCAACTCGGCCTTTTCTCTTCTATTACGAGAAAACTTACCTCATAGTAGCGTTTCAAGTGTATCCTGCATACCAACTAATTCTAGCAAAAACAAAATTCAAATTGTGACTCCCCAACTCCATTATCATGAAAAGGAACATAGGAGCCGTGATCGAATAGGTTTTTTTTTAAAAAAAAAACTTCAAATTATAGGGTGTCACTGGAGAGATGTTAAACCCCGTCATTAACAAAAAACTATAAAAGAAGAAACCTATAATAGATCGCAACAAAGAAAAAGGGTCAGGTGAGAAGGCGCGAGCACCAATTCACGAGATCTCCCAAAGACGATGCAAAAAGACTTCTGCTCATAACCAATGTCAACCACTTGAATAAAATTAACTAAATGTCATCATTCCATATGATATTTTTACCTGGGGGCCCGTGACCATAGTTCATTTGACAAGGCAGCAAGACGTACCTCCTAGACCCCAAGCAAATAAACCCTGCGAACAACTTTAACAAACCAATTAAGGTTTCTCAAATTGTCAAATGAAGTTTTTATAGGAATAAGCATCTCCCTTAGGTGCTTTGGAGCTTGAAAGCCGATCTTTTGCCACCAAAAGTGCACAATTTCACACTCATTGTAGAGATGAGTTAACTTCTGAGCTATAACAGCTTTTCAAACACAGCCTGCATTCGAATCTTGACGCCCTGACTTCATTATTATGAAAGCGCACAGGGGAGACGTGGTTAAATAGATGGATGAGGGTGAGATATTTTTGCTCCAACCATTCTTGTTTGTATAATTCTTTCCAAAATTTTCGCCAGCGTTTCATCGCCTTCACTTCAGGAAAAAAACACAAGGAAACGCCCGGAGCAAAGTGGCGGAAGCTCTTCCTGTTTGCACCGGCCAATGAACAAAATACCATACTTCGATATCATGAAAATTTACATGTATTCTGCCCGCATGAGATCCAGCAGACGCGGTCCAGACAGTGTACTCAGAAAGCTGTTGCTGTTTTCGAACAAGGTTCTCAGTTTCTTTGTTTCTTCGATCCGTTGGATCCCCGTTCTACCTTCTGTCTGTTTTCTTAATATTGTTATTGTTTTTTATTTATATATTGCTTCTGTCATTCCTTCCAGTGGGGTCGTCGTTTCCGGTCAGTAGTTCCTCTATACACACCAGCCACAGATTCGAAAACTATCGAACGGGATTGTCATGCAGCCTTCAAAGATGAATTGGACACAAATTGCTGCCTCGGTGTCGTTTTTTGGCAGCAAGCCGCTACACCCGTAAAACCACAATTCGAAACATCGGTAACTTTGGGGATTCATCTGATGATAGGATACATATTCCCCAGAGTATAAACAGTAAAAAGCTTGTCCATGCCAAATCAAAGACTGTTGCTCATCCTAAACTCAGAATTAAAACCGTACCATTGGACCTTTAGAGTTGTCTATGGTACGTGATTCATTGATTTTAACACATCAAATCACGGACAAAACAACTCGAGTTAAAATTCACCAAAATGTTCTAGTTTCCAGCACAGAGCACTCGTGGAGATTTGATTTTGAACTGGACGACGCAGGTCATTCGAGCGTGATCTTCGCGTGCATCGTATGTTTTTTGTTGTTGAGTTGCGGCGATAACCTCACAGACTCTTGCCTTGAAGATGGCTGCCTTAACTTCTGCTCTACTAATAGCATTCGTGAGGCTCTTAGTAGTTGAGTTCTCGATGCCATTGTTGTCTTCCAACATTTTTGACAATCTTTTCTTGTCTTCTGCAATAAGACCGTCAAATTTGTTGGTGGATAAAACGTGTTGGAGATGACACGTGGTGCGATCCATAGTCAAGCGCCTGGGGGGCGTCTTTTCTCTGCCCAAATCAATAATGACATCTGCAAAAACTTTACCTCTAGAGTTTGTTTCACCCGTAATCCAACTCGTAACCACATCTTCTGGATAAAGAAACGATTGTGAAAAGTAATCTTCAGGATTTTCCATGGGCAAGAACGACACGGTGGTCCATGCTAACCTGCCTGAGAGAACAGGAAGTTTCTTCAAAATGAAAAAGTTGTCTGGGTCTCCCTCCTCAAATATTCTGAACCTGAACACAAGGTGATGGATCTTATTGATTACTTCCTGTTCAGTGAGGATGTCGCTTTTGTGAAAATCTGGGGCAATCCTCGAAGCGATGAAAGTCATGGCTCTGAGCGACTTGGCATATATGAGATACACCTTGTTATTAACGAACTTTGCGTTGGCGATGAAAATACAGGCAACTGCACTGCTCACCAACTCTCTCATTTGATTGGGTTCAACTTCATGTCCCCCACACTGGGTTTTTTCTCCTCTCATTTCCTTATTTTGTATTTTGGCTTCATTTACAAGCAGTCTAATGGCTTTTACATATTTATCCTTTTTCACCATGAAAGCACGGTCTAATGCCTTTTCCATGCTTTCAGCAGACACACCGCACGGGTTTTGAACATCAAGTTTGATCGAGAGGTCGTCTTCCGGTAAAGAGTTCAAAAGCTCAAAAAAAATATCTCTCTTTGATTTATTTTCGAACACACGCCTGGTTTGATTTACATTGAAATGAAAGCCCCGGGCATACTTAAGAAGGAAGTTTCGTTGTGAGCTATCAATTTTCTCAATAGAACTTTCAGTATCAATAGGGCCGCATGCTTTCAATCGGATACGTTTTAAAGAGGTGAGGGACGGTGACTCGGTGGTGATCTCTGATGAGCTTTTTTCATGATTTTTTGCGGACATTTTTGGTATTCTTGGAACTATGATCGTACTCTTTCGTTCATCAGCATTTGAAAGTGGCATGGTGGCAGACAATTTTTGAGGAGCTACAGAAATCAGCGATTAGTTTGTGGTGTCTGACATACTATCACTACAGTCTATATATTCATTACATGGTTAGTATTTACATCAAAATCCGTGATAGTTTAGTGGCTAGAATTACCGCTTGTCGCGCGGTAGACCGGGGTTCAATTCCCCGTCGCGGAGCTTTCTTTTTGTTTTGAAATATGATTAATCCAGCAGCAAATGCTCCTTTATTTTTGAGAATTAAAAGACGCATTGATTAGTTATACATTTCAATGTCTATATGTTTGTTTTAAGGTGCGAGCTTCGAAATTCGAGGACACGAGCATTTGTGGTTATGCCTCCGCAAGAATATACATTCGGTATGGCCCTCAGAAATACGCCTCTCCCAAGAATCAACTCTACGAGTCTAACTCCATCAAATAGTATTTTATTGTGTTTAAGATAAGTATAACGGATAAATCTACCAAAAGCAATTGATAACCATAAAATACTTGCCTCGTGCTCAAACTGAATTTTGGTCATTGTTGACAAAAGATGACTACAAAAGATGTAATTTTAAAAGTGTGCCTTATTTTCGCATTACTTACAACAATTAACTTGTCCACAAAAAATCGAAATACAACTACAGACGGTTTAAAAGCTAACAAGATCTCAAAGAATTTGGGAGGAGGTAAATGAATTATTTTGGAGACTGTGATCGTTAGAGTATCGTTTACTAGTCTACTATTGAGTTTTAGGTACAGCGCGCAACTCTGACATGAAATGGTATCATGTATTCTGCGATGACAAGCGGATCTATAATGTGTTAAATTATAATACTTCACTGTGATTCAACAACACTATGTGTCTATATTTCTTCCGATATTTTTAAAAAGGCTAAAGGCCTAGAGATGAATATGGGTACAATCGATCAGATTGATGCAGGGGAAATGATATCCCGGTAGTAGTCCTCTATCTAGGCACCTTTCGATGACGGTGTAAACTTCAATGAACATTTCCCTCATTCGAAAATGTAAGCTTAAAGAACCACTCGTGTAGATTTCGAGCGGAAGAACAATTGTAACTGGGGCGTTGATGAGAGAGACATATTTTGCATTACCTCATGTCATGATACTCGCTTATGAACGGCTAGATTAACAATCACCAGAACTGTATTATGCCTTTTTATGAAGAGAACTTAGATTTTCACGACTAGCAAAAGAAAAACAGTCGGTAATACACTCAAAGATATCAAACCGAAAAGGTCAATAGTAAACGGTATACGGTCTCTCTAAATACTACATGCCAGGGTTGGACCCATGTAATGCACCTCATAATCATATCAATTTCCTCTATATTATAACATGACTACGGCTGCTTTTGATCAAAAACACTTTTGGGGGTTGAACACTTTTTGTTTACCTAGTTCTTATTTTGAGATTTGTTTAATAATGAGGGGAATCGAGTGAGAATCTTTGCGTTTGAACATTTGAACTACAGATGATGCCAAATTCGCAGCTCTTTCAAAGCACCTCTTATTGACTCGAATGTATGCATTATTATACATCTATATGTGTCTGTGACCAAGTCTGTCAATCTGGTCGGACGAAACTAAGATATCTGCTTTGTTCAAAGACTTGTACACGCTGAAATCGAAAAGGGGCAAGCGGGACACAGCCATTTCTCAATGGTGGAAAGCACATCCGAACACGCGCCTTCTTGCTGTTTGACTTGAGTGATGCGACGGTGATCTTGAGCAAAGTAGTCCGTAAGGCTTGGAATTCGAGACAGTCACCTAAGCACAGATGGAAATATTGTTTTCATATGATACGTTTGATTCTAGATACATAATGTGATTTAGGCCTCGTCCGAGGCAGTCTCAAATGGAGTGAGGTTGGCAGTACCCTCTGCCCAAGAGACGCCGTTGTATGTGATATCCTTGACAGCCTTGATGATGTCCTCAAGGCTACCTCTGACCTGCTTGGTAGAGTCTCTCTCTCTCAAGGTGACAGAGTTGTCCTTGACAGTGTCGAAGTCGATTGTGATACCGAAAGGCGTGCCCAACTCGTCATTTCTGGCATATCTCTTACCAATGGAGGCAGAGGAGTCGTCCACCTTGAATGGGACTTGCTCCTTCCTCAAGGAGGCAGTGATTTTTTGCACAAGTGGGGACAAGTCGGCGTGGTTCGACAAAGGCACCACCAAGACCTTCGTTGGCGCAACCAAAGGAGGCAAGGACAACACGGATCTGTCCTTGTCCTCGGGTCTGCTCCAGAACTGGTGCTCGAAGATCGAGTAGAGAATACGGCCAATACCGAAAGAGGGCTCGATGACGTTTGGCGTGTACTCTCTCACGTGCTCGACTCTGGTGACCTTGGCGATCTTGATCAAGTCGCTGCCCACCTCCACGTCGCTCTCGACGCCAGGAACTTGCAAAACAACCTTGCTGGTGTCAGCCAACTCCTTGGCCAAGTCTTCCAACTCGCACTGGGTTCTCTCGGCCAAGAAGTTCTGCACGGCACCGGCGTCCTTTCTGAACTTGGGGCCGAACTTCTTTTTGTCGATGTCGACCTCGAACTTCTCGACAGTGACGGGCTCGGGCAAGGCCTGTCTGACGACCATCTTCTCGTTGGTTCTGGCAGAGTGCACGCTCAAGTCGTACGCAGATCTGTCGGCGCAGCCAACACACTCGATCCAGCCGTAGGAGGAGTGCAACTCGGCGTCCCAGCAGTCAGAGGCGTAGTGCGCCATCTCGTTGGACATGTGCTGTCTGAACCTCAATCTGGAGGGGTCCACGCCGATCTTCATCAAGAACTTGTAGATTCTGGCGATGAAGTAGCCCAAGGTCTCGTTGTCCACCATGCCGGACTCCACGGCCTCGCCCACGGACTTGACGACCAACTCGTTGGAGCCGACCTCCTGCACGCCCTTGGGCAAGAAGCTCAACTGCAAGTCCTTGACCTCGGCGAAACGCGGGTGCTTCTTGTTGTCCGGGTCGACGAAGTGCTCGATCTCGGCCATCAAGAACTCGCGCACACGCAACAAGCCGGCGCGGGGCGAGATCTCGTTCCGGAAGGACTTGCCGATGGACGCCGAGGCAAACGGCATCTTCTCGTTGTTGCACTCCAACAACTTGGAGAAGTTCAAGAACTGGCCCTGCGCGGTTTCCGGGCGCAAGTAGCCCTTCAACTGGCCGGAGGGGCCGATGGCCGTCTCGAACATCAAGTTGAACTCCACGGGCGGCTCCAAGGGCCCGTCGGTGGCCGGGTTGGTGATGTTGTACTTGGCTATCAACTCGCCCAACTGCGGGCCCAGGTACCCGTCGATCTGGTTCAACACAAACTCGTACTCCTGCACCACGGCGTCGTCCAACTTGACGTTCTTGATCTCCTTGACCTTCTTCTTGCGCTTCTTCTTGTCGTCCGACTCCTCGCCGGCATCCGCAACCGCCTGCCCGCGCGCCGCCTTGTCGCCCTTCAAGCGCGCCTCCAACACCTCCTCCACCAAGTGGTCGGCACGGAAAATCTCGCCAGTCTTCAAGTCACGGCACATCCAGTCGGAAAACTTGTCCACGTGCCCGGACGTCTTGAGCACCTCGTGCGGCGTCAACATGGTGCAGTCCACCTCCAACATGTCCTCCTCCAAAATGAAGTGTTTGCGCCACGTGTCAATCACGTTGGCCTGGAAGGCGCAGCCTGGGGGGCCGTAGTCATAGAGGCCCGAGACGCCGCCGTAGATCTCGAACGCCGGCGCGTAGAAAAAGCGTCTTTTCAAGACCTGCTCGAGCTGCTCGCGCGAGAAGGGCACGGGGGTTCTGCTGCTGGTGCTGGACATTCTCGCTAAGTTAGGCCAGCCGGTGGTGCGTGTTAATCTGGCGAACAGAATGGTGGATATGGGTGGTTCAGAATTTTTTGCCTGGTTTATACGGAAGTCCCGTCTTGCGCGCGCGCGTGTGCAGGCCACAGACGGCCAGTTTGCGGTGATGTCCTTGCTTTTGGGGAAGAAAGGGGAAAGTAAAATATGTTACAATTGATAGAATTATTGATAATGTTTTTATTATATTATCAGGAGTAGCATTTCACTTACTCTAAGAAAACCAGCTGTAGAACTTAGAAGTCATAATTGCAAAAACGAGTCTACTCGCAAGTCACAGTATATTAGGTATGCCGATGAATACACCTGAAAATGTAGAAACAAAACAATTATCACATTTAGAAGAAATGTATATAAAAAGGGGGAGGGAAATGGGTGAAATGAATGAGTGCTGGCATTGTGTTTTGGACGGGCCGGGTGTGGCATGGCTGATGGGAGTGGTCCAGAGCGCCGCACAACTAGCATAGTTGGTGTTGGGTATTTTCGAAATAGCTTAATATATCATCTTACGTTCAATGTGGCTGGACGGTGTGGCCACCAGCTGGCCCGATCCTTTTTCAAGCAATAGGTTTCTTTTGATTTCAACAGGATACACCAATCTTCAATCACCAGGCATCCATGGCACGTGCCCGGGCCAATGGCCCGGGTCCAAGAGATGACAGGCAAAGATGAAAGGCACTAGTACCATGATCTTGAAATAATACCGAAAAATGGCAGGCGGACTTGGAAGAGAATAGAAAAGCCAGAAAACTCTCTACTTGTATACTAGTTTGGTCATGTGTGTTGTAATGTATGAGGTAGTTGTGATGGGAATGGGACTGTGAGATCAGACAAGAATCCTCGCGCCTATGACGAGACCATCCATCCTGGTTTCGAGTCTCTTGCGTGGAGATATCGATAAAGCATATTCCGGAAATGTAGATCCCGTCCCAAGCTCCCACAATGACTCTCCAGATGATTGTAGACATACGGTTGGGTCATGCCATATAATAGGCGTTTCTTACAAGTACGCACCCAGAAACCAATACTCCATTACTATATATCAAGACCCCATATGGTGGGCTCAGACTTCTTTGACTGTTGATGGTGTTTTTCGAATCTTCGATCCAAGGTGTTCTTCATGAGAAAAATACACTTCAATTGGAGAATTATCTGGAAATTTGATATGGATCGTTCAAAGCATCAACAGTTCTTCAGAGCTCTTTCGACTTACCAATCTTTTCGTTCCAAAAACCATCGATTTGATGGATGCCAATGATTCTTGTGATAATTCTTGCCCACTTTCCGGCCCAAGTCTTCTGACAGAGTCCACGTGTCTTCATGAAACTTCTGCATAATGTGCTGTTATCTGACGCCAATTTTCCAGAGCTAAAGTATGTACTAACAAGCATATTTTCATGACAGAATTCAGCACTTTGCATCGAGTGATTTTCTTTTCGTGAAGTATTCTCAAACGAAATTTCCTCTACACAGCTCAATACTCAATACGATTGACTCTGTCTGTTTGTAAAAAATTACGTTTGCTTATTCTAGAAGAGCATTGAAGAGTGCTAATCAAAAAGGTTTTGCGTTGACCATTGAGCACAGTACTATGAAGACGTCAGACTTCTGGCTATTCGAAAGCCTCGCGCCTACTAGCATGCGAGAGGTTCGATGCAACAAGAATGGTTCAAAGGAGAACTTGCACTCCATCAGCACTACTAGCACTAAACCGCATCATGGCTAATTCATGCTTCTTGATTATGTGGAGCAATGGTTGTCAAGTCAACACACAATACTCAGAATAAAAGGCATATCAAGAGATAAGATGTGAGAACACAAGTTCAATTCGAGACGCGGTTCTGTGAGCTTTCCGCCAAATTCTAATTACTGAAAAATATATCTGAGTTCAGAATTGTGTATATTCACATGGAATCACATTTCACTACAGCATGGTGCGAAGGAATTCAGACCAAGGCCATAGTGACGATATGCATTTTTCTTTTCTAAGGATGATGATTATTGAAATATTCTGTCAAAGATTAATTCAAGAATAAATCATTTGATTGTCAGGGTCGAAGATGCGAGGAACTGTTTCTCTTCCATCTTTCTCAAAATGTATTCTGATCAAGATTGCCTGCTAGTGTTTCAGGATGACGATGAATAAACACCCAAAAACAATTTGAGTCACCTCAATCTGGACCCGAAAAAAGGGAGAGAGACTCATGTGAATTTTGGCGATTACCAATCGAAGTGTAATTGATCGTGAAAATCATCAAATTGGCTCCGTTGTCGTACAGGTTGTGCTCGGAGCACATCCACATCTATAATCCAGTATCGATGCTATACTTTCAGTCATGATATAACCCAAATGAGATCCAGGCTACGAGATCTTGAGTGCGGAGTTTTCTTCTATCATCATTTCCTCGTCGTAGCCAGCCTCATAAATGCTGTCGCTCTCAATGAATAGTTTCATGGCAAGAAAAAAAAGTGTCCCTAAACAGGAAACACCGAAAACCTTGTCAAACCACATGTCTATAAACTCGACCTCTCTGAGCATTTGCGCTGGAGATGTGGGGCCCGAAGTTGGTGACAAGGACAAAATCTTCAGCATCAGCGTCGCGGTTTCTGGTGGCAAGTTCGAGCGGATCAAGAGCGCAGTGGCAATGACGTAGATCGCGAGGAACTCGCTCACAATGAGGTGTTTTACCAATGTCTTGACGTGCACATCGACCGTGGTGGTGTTTGTCGGAAGGAAGCGGCCGAGCGACCTGAAAGTAATGACGACGTTTTGGAAAGAACACACGAAAAGCGAGCCCGAGAGAATGAAGCTCACTTGATTGACGAGCTGCGTCTCCGAAAGAGGCAAGTAGCTGAAGAGGCGCTGGATGAGCTTGGCGATGGTGATGGCAAGCGCGTCCTTGGTGTTTTTGTTGAGTGTCTCGGACAGGTCTCCGTCATCAATAATGTTGGTCTCTCTGTGCAAGTCCGCCAGACTCCAGAAGTAGTGGTAGGGCAAGCGAAGAAACAATACGTTTACAATGCGATAGACACAGTAGACCGAGAACATCGCATTGCCGAGAGCCACAAGCCGGTTGAGCCGCACACCGGCCTTGACTGAGGATCCTCGATCGCGCAGAACCGCGTCCACTTTCTTGCAGATGTCTGCGTACACCAGGTCCTGAAGACTCTGCAAAGATTCAATTTCGCGGGCGAGCTCCTCCTCCTCGGTGGCCGTGCCGGTTAAGCTTGAGAGACTCGTGAACGACTGTACACGTGATAGGAGCCTGCGGCCACTGCCTTTAAGCAGGCGCAAGGAGTCGTTCACTGGCATAGAGTAGTCGGTGCCGGCAGCTGACGCAAGGAGCGCGTCGAGCTCTGCCTGGCGCTTTTTCTTGAGCATCTGGGTCGAGTTGTACGACTGGATGAGCTCGTTTAGCTGGGTCTCGCTGGCGCCGGTGTTCAGAGCAATCTTAGGCAGGACCACACCATCCACCCAGAAACTGCGGATGGGCGTCAGCATACAGCCGACTCCTGAGAGAAGCGCAGTGATGGAGATGCCAGCCAACACCACCTCGTTGGTTTTTTCCTCGAGGAACGACCGCTCGGCCGCCGGGCCAAGGGCCTGCGCAATAGAGCCAAAGCGGCTGAGCACAGCAAACCACACACCGCAAAGAGCCGCCGTGGCGACCATTTTGAGAATGGCCGAGGGCGACCTGAGCGAAATTTGCGGCGTGAGTCGCTGGTTCACGTAGAGCAGGATTACGAGGGGTGGCTGGACCATGGTCACGAGCACAACCAACGCCGCGATCACGTACCTGAGGACGGCCAAGTTGAGGGCCACGGCCCCGAAAAGCTCGATCATAAGAAGGAGCACTAACTCGCACGAAAGCGTGACCACGCCTGAAAAAAGCACGCCCACGACGTAGTGCACGGTGTCATGGCGTCCATGTGCCTTTAGAAACGAGGACCCAGGGACGCTGGCGCCGGCTAGAGACGCAGGGGCGTTGCCGCTCACAGTGCCCGGCAGCGTGGTGTATGGCGGGCCGCCGTTTGCACCCCAGCGGGCCGAATTTGGCACGGAAAAAGGCCGCAGAGCCTCATCTTCCAGCTCGTCATCCACATCGAGCCGAAGGAGCCGGTGGCCGTATTTGGCGCCGGCGGCGTGCTGCAACATATCGTTGATCTGAGCCTTGGCGTGGTGCGTGCGGGGAGCGTAGTTGCGGATGATGTCGTGGTTGAACACATACTTGAATGACCACAGCGAGAACACGGCGAAAACCACCACCAGCGATAGGGCCTCGAATACATACGACACGGTGCCCATCGGGGCAAAACGGGTGGAATGGGAAACGGGCAATATCTTTGATTTGAAGACATTGTGCTAGCGTTCGCGTAGCAGGGCCGCGCGCCGGCACGTGACCGAACATCACGCGCACCAGGTCATGTGACTCAGATCAGGCAATGGGTTGGCTGCAAATAATACCGCCCAGTCTTAGCGTTCGCCGCCATTGCCTTAGCATGGCGGCTCGCAAAATCCTTAAAAACGTCCAAAACCTTTGAGACATCCTTTTGAAACCCATCCCTAGGTTATGTGTAAGACCATCCAGACCTGAACATAAATCCACCTGATCTCAAACCAGAAGCTAACATCTGGTAAACACAAAACACAACCAGTCTTCGCAAACCACCAACTGATGTCTTTCAGAGGCCCCATATGCGCTACACGAATGTACTGATTTTCGTTGGCAATCTCTGTGATGTGGAATCACGTGAAATGCCTAGGCAGGTCTGAGAGCCCACAACTAATAGTAGAGCCAAATTGGAGTTGATCGCGTTGCCTTTGCAGATGAACGCGTAACGAGTGTTTTGGGCCTTATCAGGGACTTGGCTCTTCAGTCGCGTCAGTCTACATGCGACCTCGGCGATAACCACTATGTACAGGAACACATACAAACATATACATCTTGTTCACCAAGAAGGCCATTTGCATCCAAATGAAATTCACCAGAAGGAAGCTCTGTGCCGAAAACTGCTTCTTGGAATACACGCACACTTTGTTGAAGGCGGCGCGTGTTTTTGCAAACGTTTTCCGGTCCTTCTCGCACCATGGTTCCGAGATTCGAAACAAGAGTCCACGGGAAGACGCGCATTCCAATTCAGCATGTATGTGGAAAACTAATACACCAAGATTTTGGGGTCTGGGGAGTGTGGGAGTTGGAGAGCCCGTGACTAGTGCATCACGTGGCTTTTGTGGTTGGCGCTCCCCTTCCCATGTTGCGAGTATTAAACCGAAGATGTCCCGCGAGTTTTGGTTTCAAACAGAAACCCGGGATATCGTCCATGTCCACACGGCTATAAGTGGCAATCCGAAACTCGTCATAGACGTGTGTCCCAAGTCTGCCCGCCACGCATCTGCCAAGTGACAGTTTCCACAGTTAGAGCCAGCAAGGCCCGCTATCACGTGCACACGATCATGTGACATCTTACAACGTGACCGGACATCACGTGCCGCGGCCGCGGCCTGCTACGCCAGCGAAAAAAAAGACCCCGGCTGCCCCATCATTAACCCGTATCCACACACCCGTTTCACCCCCAAAACCCTTTCCAAAATGGCGAACGTCAAGATGAGAGCCGAGAAGAAGATGAGGCAGTTCCTCATGAAGCAGATCCGCGCGCGCAAGGAGGTGGGTGCGCGGGTCGCCAAGGGCCCCAAAACCGCGGCCGAGCTCCGGCTGTTGGGCTTGGCCCCACAGGTGTTCATGTTTAAAAACTTGTTTTCTGGCCAGGTCTTGTACTCACAAGTACCCGGTTATCACCAGAATCAGATCGACAAGCAGTTTGTGCGGCCCAACTGGGAGAACAGGAAGCCCAGCCGCAGAAACGATCTCTGGCGCGTGATGTGCGTGGTCAACTTCGCCTCCTACGACTATGCAGTGGCCGCATACCACGGGCTCGTGGAGTTGCGGCGGCTCCGCGACACGCAGTTGGTGAAAGAAGCGAAGTTCATGCGCAAAAAGAACGCTGACGGCAACACATGGTTTTCCGGCCAGTACCGGCCGGCGTACACGCAGGAGGCTGTGGCCGACTTGGCCCACGTGATCGAGGAGTTTTCGTTGGAGGACACCACGGCGTTATGGGAGTCGCTTTGGAGAAAGGGCGACGACAAGCACTGGGACCCCACGTTAATCACGCATGACACCTTGCCTGCGTTCAACGCCAAACACCAAAGCGTGATGTTGGACGAGATTCGGGAGATGGCGTTGGCAGCGTTTGCTGACGAGCGGGCCGCGGCGACTGCGGGCCCAGAGGCCCCTGTGGATGTGGCCATGGCGTAGATGACTTGTATATACAGAAAATGGATCATTTGAGGTTGGATGCTAGAGGCTCGCCACAGGCCTTATGAAGGCAGGGGCCTTCTACCACGCTGCTTTTACACGGTCAGAACCTGGCTGGTATTTGGCCAATTGCCGCTCGCGGTCACGTAGCCGGGCGTTCTCTTTTTCTGCTATTAGGCATAGTCTGCTTGCATCTTCACACAACGAGTACCTCGATGGTATGCTTTGGCTGCACACTTATGTGAGTTGATTGTCAGATCTGTGGCGCCTGAAATTTTGAGTAGACAGATTGGCCAGACGGTCTCTGACGGCTGCATCTTAGTCTTACGAGACCAAGGCGGAATTTTCGAAATCCTACAAGATATAGCCCGCCGGTTTAAATGACGGACCTCTACTAGCAATACGAGCCAGATCTTACATTATTAAAAGTCTGTGTTTCTCGTTGAGCAAAGCTTCTCAAGAGAATGTTGGTGTCTGGAGTAAGTTAATTGGGACACGGTTTGTCGCAAGCAGGTGTTTGCCTTTTGACCAAAGAAACTTGTCAATTCCAAAGAAATAGCCAATATGCAGATACTAAATTCACAACACACCTTCTAACAGCCGTGCCTCTTAATATGTCCTTTCTACCAAGGGCCCGAAGTTCACTGCACATCTGGCTCCTCTCGTGATCTCATGATACATATCTTGGTGTATCTCTGGTGAATACTGCTTTTTTACTTCGTGGTATATCATGGTGTCTTAGCGAATTCCGAAATTCAGGACCACTGATTAGATTTGGAGCGAAAGGCGTAACCTTCACGCAATTAGTAGTTGCTTATAGATCTTCAGTTAAGAAGGTCAGACACTGGTGATTTTGGATACCGTGGTTTGGAATGTACGGAAAAGAGGAAGTTTTTAGGACACATCTCATTAAATGGTTTCTTGTATTTTGAAAGTCTATGATGACAGACTCAGTGCTTTCCGACAACCCTAGTTGTAGGTTTGCATCCAAAGCTTAGCTATGTGGGGAGAATCCTCCCGGAAGCCATTGAAAATTTGAAGCAGCCTAAAAGTGAACAAAGAATAAACTGACAAGCATTCATTTATCGAGCCTAGCGTGCAATGATGTAACATATGATGATCCGATTTTAAGACGGTACTTTTGTTAAACTTCGGATTGAAAATGTGTAGACTTTGATAATTGAGTATTCTTGTGAGGAGACTAAGCGCAGGTTCATCTTCAAACAGCCTTATGCCCAATAGGATTTTATTATGCATTTAAGCCTGTGCCACCTGAAAGTTAAGTCATCAGACGACACTGTGTTGTCTCCTTTCACAAGTATGCAATGCGTCTTCAATGCTGTGGTACTAAACACGGGTCCACCATAACGGGAGCCAATTGTCAATAACAAGCCGTTCTTGTTGAACTTGGCTAGTGCTTTTGGGATGTCCACGCTATTATTGAAATTGATCAGGATATATGGTGGGAGCTTGCTAACATTTTGCTAGAGGCATACATTTTTATTCTTGCCGCCTTCATGAACTTGACACTTCTGTACCAAGGTGAGCAGATGGTGTTCTAGAAACAGCCTCCAAACACTGAGACTACTGATTGAAGAGGCCGAGACTCAGAAATACGTCCGCTAAAAAATCCAGCAAAGTCGGGGCATTGGTTTTGAATCATAGATACTGGCCCTCGATTATTGATGTGCCTCAGCTTGTATTTTAAGAATTCTATTGCAACCATATCATCCATACGTTTGCTTGGTTCCACTTTTTGCTCAATAGAAAACGACAAGAACATGCAAGTATTAAAGCCGGGCTCACATAGCAACAAGCTAGCTGAAACAAGCTTTCTATATCTTGGATATGTAGCACAACTTCATTTTTGGCTTTGAGACAGTCTCGCAAGGTGCCGTAAGCTATTCAGGACATCATAAATGAGCTATATCTGAATCAAAGCTCGATATACTTTATAGCAACATAAGAATCTAAGACTGGTGACCACATTTAGAGGTTAAAGCTACGTGCGTCAATTCTAGAGTTCTTGACGTCTTAATAAATTACTTGAGCTAGGCTCACGGGATTTTCCCGTTTGCCATATTGAAAAACCGCAAAGTGCTTTCCTTCCTGCTCTAGGTGGTCTTGGGTCTTTTGTAGCTTTAAAGTACTGGAGGTGATTTCCAAGTCTTAAGTTACTTGTGACACTGTTGTTTAGCTGGCTTGATGACCGGATAATTAGCTAGTAACCTAAATAATTGGAACACAAAGGAGTGCGCAGACAACATCTCTATGTATATCACCATCTTAATACTCACTAATAAGCAACACGGCCCTTAATAACTTTGATAGCTGAAGAGATATGACTCCCTGATACTAACACAAAAAATAAACCATTTGAGGTTTCTCTATTGATCGTTGAAAAGTGAGCCGAGGATATCAACGAACAGAAAAGGCACAAATAAGCGCATATGGGTCGGAGTGTACTATTTTGTTGGGCTATGATAGCAGAGCCGAATTGACAATAAAGTCCTCTTTTGGGTCCAGGTTCGGGGCTATACTTTTAGTCCATTGAGAGCGCTCTGGCCACCTAATATGCCCACGCGAACTGACATAAATATGCACTAGATCGTGGGAGGAAAAGTCTAAGAGTCTTTAGAAAATACAAGAAAAATACCGTTGCGACTGACCCCAGGCGTATTTTTTCATTTCAGATTGTAGAAATAGCGGGACAAAGCCAGAACTGAGGTAGGCCATCAACTGGTTGTTATCTGTGGCCAGGTTTGATATCCATGGCTCTTGGATCTTATCCATGCCGCTGTCGGAGATACTTCAAGCCAGGCGAATTTTAAAAGAACAAACTGGCTACATCGTCTATTTAGAAATATGCCATCGCTTTCAGAGCCAGGCTTACCTCGAATGACTCGATAGTACAGCCAGGTGCAATAACCCTGGAATACTTGCATGTTCTTAGATTTGCACCGGTGCAGGTTATGTGCTATATCGGCCCTGTTTGCAGGCGCCGTGCAAGGCGGGATTTCTGGGTTCAGGCTTGCAAAGTCGCAAGGGCTCCAAACATTGGTATTGATTGTAGCGAGCAAATCTCGCAGGCATAGAGGAAGCCGAGACGAAGCCGATGGAAATTAGCTGGCGACAAGCCGTCACTTTTGTTGGCGGTGGCTATAACCAATGGGGCCTGAACGAAAAGGAGCTGATTCCGAGACTTGCGCTTGTTTTTCTCCTGGTACCAAGCCTAGCGGCCGTGCGTGTCAGCCAAGTTTCGTGTCAACCAATTTGCGTGTCAGCCATTTTCATATCAGCTGATGTTTTCATGTTAGCCAATATTCAATGTCAGGCATTTCACAATTCTAATTTCCATGCCAGCCACTTTATAGATTTTCAAATTGCCTTTTCAGCCAACCTCCATGTCAGACAATTTTCCATGTCAGCTAATTTTTTCATGTTGACCATTTTTTGATGCTGACCATTTTTTTATGTCAGCAATTTCCAACTTTTAGGTCAGCCAACTTCCATGCTAGACCGATTCCAATTTTCAGGTGAGCCACTTTTCCATGTCAGCTAATGTGAGCCCATTTTTCATGCCAGCGCATTTTCCATTTGTCCATTTTCCATGTCAGCCAATTTCCAATTTTCCATGCAAGCCATTTTCATGCTAGGCAACTTTCTAATTTCCAATTTTCCATATCAGCCAATTCCCGTGTCAGCTATTTCCCATGTGAGCCAATTCCCATGTCAGTCAATTCCCATATGACCTATTTCTCATGTCAGCCACTTTCCGATTTTCAATTCCCATGCCAGCCGATTTTTCATGTGAGCCGAACCCAGATTTTCAATTTTCATGTCAGTCAATTTTCCATGCGAGCCAATTTATCATTTGTTCATTTTCCATGTGAGCCAATTTACATGCGGGCCAATTTCCATGCCAGCTCATTCTCAAGTTTACCATATTCCATTACAATTCTACATTTCCATGTCAGCCAATACTCATTTCCCATGCTAGCCATTTTTCATTGTCAGTCAATTTACAATTTAACAACTTTTCATGTCAGCTGATTTTCCATCTCAGTCAATTTACAACTTTACAAATTTCCATGTCAGCTGATTTTCCATCTCAGTCAATTTACAACTTTACAAATTTCCATGTCAGCTGATTTTCCATCTCAGTCAATTTACAACTTTACAAAATTTCCATGTCAGCTGATTTTCCATCT